GTAACCGCTAATGAGAAAAAGTGTAGTTTTACTACTACTAATTACATAATATTTCTTTATTGACCCCATTTGTATATTTGTGTGAAGTACATATATTTTCACAAAATTAAATAGTTAAAAAATTAGCCCCTATTATTATTCAACAATTATTTTACATAACCCACTCATAGCATATCGAGCTAATACATTTTGCATAAAATAGCTACGCATTTTTTTTGCTTGCGCTTTAACTTAGCATTCACAGTGCATATATTTGCATATGCATGTGCGTATGTTTATGTGTGTTTACCGTTGTTTAATTTGTTTTTCTTCAATTTTGCTGAAATTATACACTCCGTTGCAATTTTTTTTGTGCGCCTTTTGACTTTTTCATCTAAATAATGCAACGATTATTTGCACTAATCCCCTATGGCCCTTGGGGTATATAAATTGTAAAAACTTTTTTTATTGCTGACTCGCTGTGCTGCAGCAGCAGTCGCAATGGTAAACTGTGAATACTGAAACAACTAAAAATTGTTTGGTTTCATTGGGAATTTAGCGTTATGCAGCTAAAATTGCTGTTTGATTTTAATATGAGCTTTTTATTTTTAAGCTCAAAACATTGATTTGAAATTTTGGGCTTTTTGATATTTTCCTTTGTTTTAATTTATCTATTGGATGTATTTCTTTTTTTATCATTTTTATATAATACATTTTCTATACACTTGTGTGCTGGTAGTGTTTTTGCTTGTTGTTGTACAAAATGGGATACATTCACGTTTATACTCAATGTAATTTGTGGTTTTTACTTAATCTCATACACACACATACGCTCACAAACATTTAACTCATTTGTACAAATTAATTTCTTATAACGAATTTCTGCATTTTTTTTTATTTTTCATATTTTTTTTTTTATTCTTTTTTAAAACATACTTATTATTATTTGCAAACAGTGCGTTTACTAAATATTTGAAGATGCATTTTTGTAAATATTCTGAGAACAGAGTTGCCATCTGTATGAAACATTAAATTTATAATAACGAAAAATTGGTTTGTGAAAAGTGTATGCAATGAACCAGATTTGTCATGAGGTTAGTTTACAAGAAGTTGTGTTGCACTGTCTTTAGACCTGTTAGCTATTTATAGTCCCGTGTATAGATTGCAGCTGGTATAAGGTCAACAAAAAGTCATGTTGTTGTTAATGTTTTTGTCTGAAATTCAAGAGCGTCTTGTTATTTATATAGCCTTTAGAGTTATTCCTATTTTCTATTCACAGTCTTCAGGGATTCTGGTATTCTCTGTTTCAGTTCAATCGCCAGTTGAATCAGACTTTTGGCAATCTCATCAACTCTTTCGCTCCTCCAAAGACGCACTGGTCTGAAATTCAATAGTTATGCACTCGACTTCCCGGCAACTACCTAAACACACTTTCTGACGCAATTAGTTGTGAATTGAAAGAGTTACCTGTGATGCAGCTCAGAAATGTAAATTCAATTTTTTGATTCATTTGCGAAAATGTTGCTAACAGAACGTGGTCACACTACATTATGTTGCTTTTTGTGTATGTAACCTCTAACTTTCCTTTTTCAGAGAAAGAGCGAAATCCCATAGCAGATTTTCGTCGTCTAGCGTAATGTCGATTCAAATTAGTAATTTAAGAAACTGCAGCAGTGCAATTATCAAGTAAGAGGTATTTAAACAAAATTAACCTCAAAAATCTAGATCTACAGTGTTGCCAAAGAAAGAAAATAAATGAATTTTGTTGGATTAAAATTTTGTCAAATATTATACAAAATGAAAATAAACATAACTAAATTATAAAAAAAAATATTTGTTAGACATTTTTTTTCTCAGAACTTTCAGTATTTTCAAAAATTTAGTGGAAAAAACTAAGAAAAAATAGAAAGTAAATATCAGATGTACAACTTTGCTTCCGTCGTTTTTTCCAAAATTAAAAGCTTTATTGCGAAAAAGTGCTTACAGATATATTACTCAAAGTATTGTCCTTCGCTAGCGACAACTTTCTCCCATCTTTCCGGCAATTTTCGGATCCCGGCTCGAAAAAAGGAGTCCTCTTTTGACGCTATCCATGAAGCAATCCATTTTTCCAATTCTTCGAACGGAATAGGTGGAAGTCGGAAGGGGCGACATCTGGGGAAAACGGCGGGTGGGGCAAGACTTCCCATTTCAGCGTTTTCAGGTACTCTTTGATCACTTTTGCGACGTGAGGCAGAGCATTGTCGTGTTGGAGGATGACTTTGTCATGTCGCTCTTGATATTGTGGCCGCTTTTCTTTTAGCCCGCGACTAAGGCGCATCAGTTGCGTTCGGTAGCGATCTCCTGTGATGGTTTCACCCGGTTTTAAGAGCTCGTAGTAAATCACACCGAGCTGACCCCACCAAATACAAATCATAACCTTGGCGCCGTGAATTTTCGAATTGTAACAGAAAAGTAAAACTTCCCTTAAATGGCGAGAATTAGGCACATAAACGGACATTTTCGAGACAAGAACAACTGTCTTTGAAACGGCGATGACAATCCGTTAGGCACTGTCCACACTCACTTTCAAGGCATTATCATCTATGTATTTCAACCAGCCTCAGCCGGTACAGCCACCTATCGGAAAACGACGGAAGCAAAGTTGTACACCTGATATAATTAGATATGTAGATTTGTTAGATAATTCATTTAATTTTACCAGTATCAGGCACTAGGACTATTTTTTACTAAGCGATAGTGTTGATGAAGTGAGGAACTATGAGATGACTCCACTCTTATCTCCCAATCTTTGCGCTGAAAGGCTTTACAATGAATCTAAATCTTAGTACTCGAAACTGTGTCTCTGCTTCTATGTAGAGAGATGCATTTGGAGTATGAAAACGTCGTTTTCCAGCACTATACCTTTGGTTAAGATTTTCGATCGGCACAACTATAAACATAATTGTTGCTGGTAAGTGTTGTACAGTATTGCTATCCAGAATTACTCTATGGATGAAGTGCGACTTTCCCAAGATTATCAAGATTGGTTGAATTTTAGAAGAATCTTAAGTTTATTTAAAACCATTAATGTTTTCTTTCAGGCTATAACCTGCTATATGTTACACATATTCTAAGTCTGTAATTTAAAATTGTCAAAGTCCTTTTTTCCCAATAAAAATATATTAACTAATTAAATAACAATAACAATTTGCTGTGGGCATGCCAAGTTCGAATCCAACACGAAAAAACAAGTCTGGGAAAAGAAGTCTGATGATGAGCAGCACTAATTTCTACCGTCAAAAACTGTTACTGTAATTTTTTCACTATTTCCCAAAACTATATGGTCTGAAACCATTCTATAAAACTAAAAACCCGAAATAACAATTTAATTTTCATTTATTAAGAATTTTTTTTTTTTTCAAAAATATATGGAAAAATGTAAATAAACACCAGCAGTTAAGCAGTTTTGTTATATTGAATGCAAATATTTTTGAACCTACCTTTAAATATTCCCAACAATCCAACTAACCAGATGTTAAGTAACCAAAACTTGGTAAAAACGAAAGTTCAACATCAGTCTATCTGACGGTTAGCTATTCTCCTATCAAAGGTTAGGTTAATTTGATATTGTGAAAATGGCCTTATTAATATATCGGAGCAAACGCAGCTTTTAAGAAATATATTTACGTAGGAGAAAAACATAACGACTAAGACGAATGACTTATAACTACGTAATCAACCTAAGTTCCCAACCAATCAACCAATCAACCAATCAACCGGAAAAAAACTTGAAAATCAAAAAACCAAAAATACTTTCGCAGCTAAGTATTTTTAGATAAAATTTTAATGAACTTCCTCTTTGATTTTTTTTATTAAAATTAAATTACACATAAAATTTTTCTGAGACGAAAATTTCATTTTTCGGATGTCAAACAGAATATCTTTTTTATATAGAACATTTTCATGCTTTGCTTATTAAAAAGTTGTAATGAAAATAAGCAAAGATAACATCTGTTTTGGATCATGAAAAAATACTACTTAATATTGGGTGTATGCATTAATTCGTGCGGGTTTCTAAGGGAGGACTCTACTAGTATTATTTCGCGTCGTGTTCTTCTGTGGCTGTCATTTCTCGTCGTTTTCAGTAGAGTAGTAGTGGCAATCTCGACTTAGGCGACGGAGAACGACCCGGACAGCCAAAATAATTTCATAACGAAGAATTAGAGTCATTGCTCGACGCAGATGCCTGTCAGATGCAAGAAGAACTTGCAAAAGTATTAGGAGTTAATCAAGCAAGCGTTTACAGACGATTAAAACCATTAGGATTCCCTTAAAAGCTTGGAAATTGGTTGCCTTATGAATTAAAGCCAAGAGACGTCGAACGTCGATTCTGCATGTCGGAAATGTTGCTTCAACGCCACCAAAAGAAACTAGTTTTGCATCGGATTGTAACTGACAATGAAAAATGGATGCATTGTGATAGCCCAAAGCGCAAGAGATCGTATGTGAAGCCCGGCCAATCATCGACATCCACGGCAAATACGACTATCAATGGTGCCGAAATTATGCTATGAATTTGGTGGAACTACAATGGTATGCTCTATTATGAGCTATTGAAATCGGGTCAGACGATCAATGGGGACCTCTAGCGAAAACAATTGATTCGTTTGAAAAAGGCGATCGCGGAAAAACCAACAGAATGTGCAACCAGACTCGAATAAATAATCTTTCATCATGACAACGCTCGGCCACATTTTGTGAATACAGACAAAAAGTATTTGGAAAACTATGGGTGGGAAGTTCTACCTCACCCGCATATAGTATTATAGCGCAGACATAGCACCTTCCGATTACCACTTGTTCACATCAATGCAGAAAGCCCTCACCGGAGTATGCTTCACTTCAGAACAGGGTATCAGAAATCGATTCTTTTGGGATGGGATCCACGACCTTAATATAAATTAAAATAAATGAGAATTGAATTTCATTCCCAAAATTTTTATCAAGAAATAATATTTCTCTTGTGCCTTACTGAATTTATTCTCATTTTTCCACACACACCCACTCACACACACACACAAACGCTTACACATCAAATTTCATTATCCATTGTATAAGACTAAACATTAATACTCAGTATGTATATAAATAAGTATGTATGTACGTATGTATTTCCTAATTTTTGATTCGTTAACTAATTACTTTAATTAATTGTTACATTTTCTTACTTAACTTACTTAATTAGTGAAATTATAAAATTCAACTACAACGCCGTAAACTGTCTCCTCAACAACTTCTACGCCATCTGCTTTCCCTTCACATCCTTCCGAATGGCATTTGGCATTTCCACAATTTCGCAGTTGCTTTCTCTCCACATAGAATTTTCGCTTCCCTCCGCTTTTGGTTAATTGAGTAACTTTTACCTGTTTATGTGTAGCGCGTGATGTGGCGAGTGTAGCAGCAACAGCAGTAGCAGCAGGCTAAGCAACTGAATGGCCAACTGTTGGTGGAACGCGTTAGGAACCGTGGGCGCTGCAGCGCCATGATGCAATTCGGCAAAACTTTCGCCTAAAGGCAATTGTTGGGAATGTGTAGAAGCGCCAGGCGGGTGCGACCAAGTAGCATCGAGCACGTGGTGCGGCGAGGCGGATGTACCGGATGGGCATCATCAAAAATCATTGTAACAGCGGGTGGAACATCATCAACGCAAGCAATAGCGATGGTGTAACATCATAAACGGCACGAACAGCATGGGATAGCATAGTAGAGTAATGAGAAGGATTAAAAGAAAAATAAAGAGCGTTGTTGTAAATTAGTTATGAAAGTAAATTATTATGCTCCGGCTATGCAGGTGTAAGTACGTGTATGTATGTGCGCATGTTAGTGTCTATGTTGTGCATCGCTGATGATAATGATTAAATAATGTTATTTGTAAATAATTTTGGTGGACTTTACTATCAACAAACAAAGGATGCATCGATGGGATAGCAAAGACAAAAACAAAGCAAAGGTCCCAGTATTTGAAATAATTAGTCTACAAAGTACTCAGACTTCGTTAGCTGAGATTTACCTGAGAGAAAAGGAAAAGTTCGAAAATATAAAGTTAAATGCGTCTTCTCTAAGGTTGGATATATCTCCGCAAAATCTTATTGATTTTTTTTAAATTTTTTTTAATTTATTGCATAAAAACAAATGAAGATCAATGTTCTACTCAACTTCCAAATCTGCTTTCTGAGAGCACTCATCAGCAAATCGATATAAGAGAAAAACACCCAGCAAACCAAGTTTCCTACGAAAAGTTCTTCCATCATCCAACAATGGCGATTGCTTGATTAAAGAACAACAAAGCGGCTAGAGGCAATGACTTACCAAATGAGCTGTCTAGTTGTAGGCCTTAGCTTCTTTGCATAATTTGGTTCGATGTAGGCATGTCCGGTGATTAAATCCTGTGTATGCTCTGCCCAATTTAAAGTCACCCAAATATCTTGAATACGGTTCTATAGAGCGCATTGTATGAAAGAGCCCGACGTCAAAAAGATGATTCAACTTTATCAGTGTGGTTTTGAATCTGATAAATCAACCATCAACCGGGGAGGACCCCTCCGAAGCGCTCGGTACCAAGCGAAGTTTCAGGCAGGGTGACTCTTTATCGCATGATTTCTTTATTTTGATTTTGAAGAACATAATTAGAGCTGCAGAGCTAAATACGCAAGGCATGGTCTTTCTCAAGAGTTATCAACTGTTGATCTATGCCACTTAAATCGACATCAGAGCCCTAAACAACTTCATTGTTCTAGTCTCCTGACTAGATAAAGAGGCGAGGCCAGTGGGTCAGGTAGTAAAAGGAAGACAAGGCGAGATATCAACTGTCATCAGGAGTCACTGTTGACAGTCATAACTTCGAGGTTGAGGTTCGTCTATCTAGGGACCGTCATTATTACCAAGAATAATGTTAATTTTTACTAAATAGACAATTGAAAATTAAATTCCTCTCTCACAGTAACCAAAATCTAACTCTGCAAGTCCCTCATCATTCCCGTCCAACTATATGCCGCAGAAACGAGAACGATATATACAACGATGGAGAGACAGATGGATAAGAATACCTCAACCTTGAAAGTATTCCATGCAGTGGGAAGCAGAAAAAGACCTGCTCTCCATTAGTAAAATGATGTGGAGAGCGACCTGGTTTCACTTGGTATTTCCAACTGGCACCAAATAGCTAAAAGAATCAACGAATGGCACCATATTTTTGACTCGGGGTCTTTTTGATGTCTAGTTATTCAAACAGAGCGTAACGTCAGGCCACAACTTGCTGATATCATTTATGATCATGTTGGAACACTTGCTCTTCCTTTGTGCGGTCTAACTTAGAATTCGCTTTAGGCAGCCAGTAGCTTTGCTGTGTAGAGCAGCGTTTTCTTAAAATTTGTATAAAAGAGACTATGAATCTACCTAAAATTAAATTGAATATCCATCGGCAGCCTACAGGACTAAGTTAGGCACAGTAGGCAGACAGTCTAACATAACTTAAGCTAATCAATCAGATGTTGCCAGAATAAAATTTGCACAAGAAGACACCGATGCAGAAAAATTGGTCTTATAAAGTTCTAATGATATATGTATATTGCAGTAGACTAGATTCGTGTTTTATACATATAAAGAGTGATCTATTTCGTTGTGCGCCATTGTCCGCATAGACTATAGACTTTACACATCCCCACAGGAAAAAGTCTAACGATGGGTTATTACACGATCTTGGTGGCCAACAGACCAGCCTAAAACTGGTTATCTGCTCACCGAAGTGCTCTCTCAATAAAAATGATGACGTCTACTTGAAACCAAATGTAGCCGAAATCACGCGCTTCAATTCCATTTTCTAGTAACAGGAAAAACTGCGAGTTGTTAACTGTTTAATTAAAGAGCTCTGGCATTTCTAACGTTGATTTATAATAGTTTAATATTCTCCTCTTAATACAAGGCTTTCAAGCTCATAGCTTAGTTGAGCACTTACACCTTCTCCGGGTATTAAAAAAACATTAACTCAAAAAAAAAAACGGGTCTGAGCTGGATCTTGAACGAGATTGATATTACTGCAGACTTTTATACGACCAAACTACTAGACTTGATGTTGCTGCTCCAAAGTCTCCGCCGCTGGAAAAAAATATCAACCTCTTACTCTGCCTTCAGAGTTCAAAACTCTTCTAATCAATCCATTTTCATTCGGCTTTAAGCTTTTATTTCATTATTATTCTGCTGGTAGGACCATACAATACATTCGGGCGATCCGTATATAAACCAACATATTTTGTGATGAAACCAACCCTGTTCGTTCCGCTATATTTTAAGCCTGTTCTCTTTATATTTATTACTATGACTATTAAAATTAATATTAAACCATCAAATAATCCACTTTTATGCACAATTGAAAGAATCATAATCAACACTATAAAGGCTCATAATCATAATAAAAGTCAGCAACAGCTGCCCTGCATACAATGGCATATATTTAGATTAACATGCATTAGAGTTGTAGCGAAGCTTAATTTTCATGAAGACCGAGATCGCGCCGCTAACAGACCGAGACTGAAGTTACTACCTGAGCATTGCAGAAGGCTAAGCGGAACGAACGAAATACACAGAGCAATATCTCCGAAGTGCCGTCTGCGACAGCCAAAGGAAGTGAGAGGCGTTGCGAAATTCTATGGCTCTTGGCAAAGGAACTTTTTAATGATGGAAAAATAAATCTTCAGAAGTTGATGGGAGGCGGCATAAAACTGGTGCTTTTGAAATAATATATATTTATATATATATACATTATATTCCGGCCGCGGTAGCCGAGGGGTTAGCATTGAGTACTGCCATTCCATCGATCCAAAAATTATAGAAATTGAACTTAAATTACAACTTAAGTTGCATTTTCTAATTGCGGTCCCCTCGGCGGGAAATGTAAGCCCCTCCGAGTGTATTTCAGGCATGAAATAAAAGCTTCTCGTAAAAACCATCAGCTGTTCGGAGGCGGCTTAGTATTAACTGTAGATCCCTCCATTTGTTGAAAAAAACCAGCCGTTACAAAGCGCACAATTTATTGATGCCTATAAACACATCAGCCTTGAGCTTTAATTCAGAATCCCTCTTGCCAACTGGATGCACTGCGTAAGCAATTAGAAAGTAAAATCCTACCTTGGTGACTTTGGATTAGAATACTTCACTTTTTGAAAGAATTCGATGCAGAACACGCCGGTGTCAAGGTAGGATGAAGATATAATATACGTAAGAAAGGAACTAGCTTCATTTGTTGACTTTAACTTAAGCTGCCTGAAGAAGAGAAGAAAAACTGGAGCGCTAATTGTGTCAAAGCTATAAGCGGTGCCTAGGTGAATGAAGAATCTTCATCTTCTTCCTAGGTGAATGAAGAAGATGAAGATTCTTCATTCACCTAGGCACCGCTTATAGCTTTGACACAATTAGATCAGAAGGAGAAGAAATTTCAGGAACTCTGGTTTCCTCAGTGACTTTTCAAATCACCCCTACCGAATTCTTTGACGACTTCAGAGGTTCAGTAATTCGAAAAATCATTCAAAGCCGAAGCTAAACTTTCTTTAAATATCTACTACATACTTACATATCTTCTCTCCCCTCTTCACAAGCTCTAATAAACGCCAAGCACGTGACTAGTTATCATACACAATGAACACCATATTGACAGGAGCATTGATGCAGACAAGTTGAGCGGAGCCATAAACGACGAAACCAAAGAGGAGATGGGGGAGTCGGTTGCACTGAAAAGGATGTGCTCGCTTAATGAGCGACGTGTGCATTTCCCCATTTAATTAGTTTGTTAAATGCTTGTGACGTTAACTGAATTTGCACAACTGATTTCACACAATCAAAAAGGAAAAAATGTGGGAAAAGGCAAAAAAGGAAGATGCTTGCAGCAGCAAGCATAAAAGGAAATGAATGCGGTTGAGTGCAGCAAATTTACTTCACGCTCGCTTGGATAGAGAAAAAACTTCAAAAAAAAAAAAAAAATGGTTTCCTAACAACGAGCGGCGGTTAGAGGAGCTGGCGAATTTGTATATGCGTGTGTGTGTGTTGTGCCTTCCGGCTCCGACTGTTTACCACACAAATGGCAGGAAGAGCACAAACAGGTGGTATATCCTGAGCACCTGAGCTAAGCACCTTTGATGAAGCGAATGAATATGCAAATGTGGTTGTGTGAGTGCTTGTTTGTTCATGTATGTATAGTGGTAACTACATATGTAAGCCGCTATATATTAACACGGGCTTTGCTTCATTTTTTGTTCGCAAATGAATGTTGCCACTTAATTTAATATGTTTTTATGTACGTACGAGTATGTAAAATCTTTGTTTTTATATAAATATGTATGTTATCATCTACTTACCATTCAGTATATGCACAACTATGCTGAAATTTTGAAAATCACTAATTGCGCACGTATAGTTGCCCGAGTCGGACTTGTTGATTTTCGCTATGGATAACGTCGAGTTGGCGCCATCGTCCATCAGTTCCGTTTTAACGCTGCAAAGAGAGAGAGAGGAAGGCAACGGGTGAGTGTGTTTGTGAAAAAAGAAAACACAAGAATTTTACATTACATATTTTTTCTTGTACACACCATGCAAACATACCTAAGTAAAGCTTTAAGTTATGTTAAATAAAGTTAATCTGCAGAAAATAAAATAAAAACAAAAATAAAATAAAAATCAAAAACCAAAATTTTGCCCTAAAATTGGCTGCTGAAACGTGGACGGCGCATATTTCATATTTTTCGGTGATTTTCCACAAAATTTCTTTTCTCGCTTCAATCGTTGGACCAGGCCTAGCATCGACATGCACACATATACCCGCATAGTTTGTATTATGCAACCATAATCCTTATTCTCGTATACTCACGTTTCGCTAATGTTGCGGCACTTAAAATTTAATGAGCATTTTAATGCGCTCATGTACGTGTGAGCAACACTGAGAAGTGAATGTAAAAAAAAAAATATATATATATATATATGGAAAATTGCATGCCGCTATTTGTGAGGGCGTACAGTTGGTAGCTTTTAAGTAGCGCTTCTTTTTGGTAGGCTAATGCACGAGCAGTTTGTCGTGGTGTGCCCTGTAGGAAAAGTGTATAACGAACAAACTACAAGTTCTCAAACCTGTCAACTTAGGAGAAATAATGTGAGTAAGCAATTTGAGACGGCAATGCAAAGCTAGGAATGAAGAAACTCAAAAGAAAAAATCAGAAGTTGTTGAAGATCTTTGAAAAGTACTTTGTAGCATTTTTTTTTTTTTCAAAGTAATACTCTAAAAAGTTCATTCAATTTTTGTCTTAAGGTGCGCTCGAAATGTACAACTAAATTTCTTGTTCCTTATATGTTCACCATTTAACCTCTTTAACCACAAATAAAGTGAGAGTGAGAGTGCTATAGTATTTTAATAGCAAACTGAAAGCTTTACAGAAAGAAGTCTTCTTGCCGGTTTTTTCCTTAAAACAACTTCTTTTAAAGTTTTTCATAGCTAAAATGTTCCTTAATTTTGCAAGTAAATTAGATTACGTATACGCAGTGTTGACCCAAAATATTTTTTACGAACTTTGAATTGAGCATTGATTTTACTTATTTTTAAATAAGATCACTAAAGACGAAAAAGTGAGAAATTTATATTAAAACAAAAAAGAAGTGCTCTCCTTGGGCGAATATGAATTTTGGTGAGTATACCTCTGCTCTTTTTAGTGTTTATGTACTTCGCATCAATGTTGGTATAGCAGGTTTATTACAGAATATACAGATTGAATCTCCTGAATGAAGGCAATTGTATTCTTTTAGGCATAATCTATTAGGCAGTCAAGCAAAGATGTTGAACATGCCATCGAACGTCTTCTGTGGGTGTTGTAGTGAGAAAGAAGAACTTGAAACCTGAAGGCACTTCCATTGTGAATTAATCACATTTTGGATGGGTCAATTGAAGTCTATATGGGCGGCTACATTTATAGTGAATAAGCAGATACAAAAATATGTCGACTGTTTTGTTTTGCTAACCTCGCAAATTGCCTAAGTGAGGCTGATAGGAATGTAATAACACAATGAGTCCATTTGGCGGCCGAAATGAACTTCAACCTATACCAACCTACTTCTTCAAAATCGTTGCATAAATTGAATACAAGCTGAGCTTTGATTTTCAAGTTGGCTCTTAGTGTGCTGGGAATCAGAAGTATGGGTTTCAGGGCATACAAACCAAGACACTTAAGGATTTTGATCATGCAGAATATTCAAATGGAAAGAAACTTTCGGAACGTCTGCTGGTATGAGTCAAGGAATCATGAGCTAACTATAGAAACAACTAGTAAAATTTGTAAATCAATTTAAGAAGAAGACAAGATCAGCAGTATAACTCGTCAGCTAAAAAATGTATGCTTTAAAGATCGATAATCCAATCCTAATAGCCATTAGAATTAGCTAATTTTCCCTGAAAATGAAGATGAAGATATAACATCGAGCTTCAACTCTTATTAGATTTCATCGTGACATCGTGATAATCGCTTTGTTTTCGGCTTACAGAATTATGGTCTAAAATGAGTGAAATTGGAAACACCCATCGCGCTTTTTCTAATTTGAACGCGTTTCCATCCCTTGTAAGTCTTATATTTGGCCTTAGGAGTTTTTTTATATCCACACCTTCGACCGGGTATGTTCTTTGATGATTAAAAATTTTATGTCTTTCAATGACAGTTTCCAACGACATAGATATAACCTCATCCTCCTTCACCTTTTACTATTATAAGGAACAATTCTGAATAACAGAAGCAGTTGAATTTGCAGCCACGGACATACCACCACATTTTTTTATTTGTTTTTTATTTTTTACTTATATATAAGTTAAATGCAAAGCAAACTATTATAGACCACAAGAATTGTCTTATTTATTCCTGACTCCATTAAGACTACATGACGTCGTATATGAGTTTTTGGCTTCGGACAAAGGTGTGAGAATAGATTGTAATAACAACAGCCGGAAGTTCCTAAATCGAGTTGGGTCGACTATAATCAGTACATGATATTGGATAGTGGTACCTCAGATCTGGGAAGAAAGCATGCCTTTCCTTGTGGTTGTTTTCATAATGCAGTTTTTAGCTCTTTCAGATGTGCTTCAATGCACTCTTTCCATGCAATCATAAAGTATTTTCTAATCCAACCGAAACCGGTAAAATCCATGCTGACCCTTCATCAGATTTCCTACTCACCATTTCCCCAGTTGCATGCTGCAGCCCACATACAATTATACACATTCACACACATATGCACAGAAGCACTTGAATGAATAGTGTTCTTGTGCTTGGACGCTCGTAAAAAGTGAATTCACGTTTTTCTTCGTAATTGACGCACTTATCTTGTTTAGAGTTTTTATTAGCGAGTTAGCTTGAGGGTTTAGTTAGTATACGCTCTTGCTTTCCTCCTTTATAAATATTATATTTTCCTCTTTTTGGTAAAGAAATTGAATGATTTAGTATACACTTATGGTAAAATATTCTCAAAGTAAATGCCCAAAAAAGCAGTGTGTGTGTGTGTGTGTAGGCTTTTATGATACGTACATATATACATCACTTTCATTTTTATTTAGCATCTGAGGCATAGAAATTTGCTAGCATTAGTGATGAATTCAAAGAACAAGCTTTAGGGAGCCGTATAAAGTGGTAAATTCAGATTATCTGCCTTATAATAGACATATTTGTATAAATAGTAATAAAAAAATAGCTTGAGCAAATTATACTGGTTTTGGTTATTAAACTTTTAAGATGAGGAGCATTGAGTGCTCGTTTACTGGAATGGTCAGGAGAAAGATGTGAATTTTAAGTTTCGTTGAATGGACTTGTATAAGAACAGCTAAGTGTTACAAGTATAAATTGGGTCATGCTAAATTTTTAATGATTACAGGTTGCTGGTAGTACATTAAATAAAAGATACTTGGGTGCACTGTACTTCTTAAAATTTTTATAGACGGAATGATTTAGGTAATTTCGAGCATTAAAAAAATATATCCTTTTTATTGGAATGCTGCTTGCTACGTGTCATGTTCCCATAGGAACACTTCAAGTTTTATACCAAAATACAATCAGTAGTACTCAAATAGTCAGCATAGTATGAATAGCATCCAATAAACTCCTTACTTCATCCCGTTATCTTCATTGGGGTGCGCACCGATCACGCGTTTATTGCCGAATATGCAATGGCGCGTCAATCAGCTATTATGTTTTTGTCCTTCGAACGGAGTAGAGGTCTTCGTCTTCCTTTTCCTCTTTCTTTTTCTTTTTCTCTTTCCCTTTCTCTTTCTCTTTCTCTTTCCCTTTCTCTTTCTCTTTCTCTTTTTCTTTGTCTTTCTCTTTCTCTTTCTATTTCTATTTCTCTTTTTCTTTNCTCTTTCTCTTTCTCTTTCTCTTTCTCTTTCTCTTTCCATTTCTCTTTCTGTTTCCCCTTTTCTCTTTCTCTTACTCTTCCTCCTCCTCTTCCTCTTCCTCTGAAGTGAAGTCATCCACAATTTCAATCAGCACTGCGATTCTGGTGTTGCACTGCATCAGTTTACACAGCCTTACAACTTTTGCGGAAATACCAAACTCAGGCATACCTAGAGGTAGCTCCTAGTTGTGCAGTCGAAGGCAGTTTTAAATTCGTTGAAAAGGTAAGGTAGTTTCAAAGATTAGGTGTATGGTGAATATCTGGTCACTGATTGATTTATTATTGATTGGTTGTTGAATTTTCACTGCGATTCAGCAGACTTGAGAAGTGTTTTCTTCATACATTAAGTATGCTCTGGACATGGGTCACCAGATCTTCATACTGCTTCCTACATGTATATACTCCAATCTTAAAACCTTCTTTTAGTTGGCACATCCTTTCACAGAATATTCGAGCGTTACCCTTGCCTTCTTCTTTCGTCGGCAAATGCGCCTTGCTTCCCTGTTCGGCTTTCGGTGCCTATCCCACCCAGTACGTGTGTTGGTGGCTGAATTTCCTGACTGTTATACTAAAAGTATCTTCTTTTCCCACCCTGGCGTTAAAATCGCCAAGTACAATTTTCACCGCGTGGCGGTGGCAGAGCTCATAGACGCGTAGGAATTCCAGATGCATAATGATCCTTCTTCCGAGGTTTCTTTTCATTTTTTCATTGCTTTGGTTTGTTTAGTTTTCATGTGATGGATACAAAACAAGTTAGGTTATTGCAAAGCAATATTAAAAATCCCATTATATTGCTATTTAGGCAGTCTTATAGGTTCCTCTGGTGAACGAAATTCCATTAATATAGAATAATATAAATAGAGAAAACTGTCATGCAACCGTTTCCAATAGAACAATGGGAGTCAAATGAATTGCCACTGCTTCACTAGCAATATTCTCATAGACTGCGATAATTTAATTTAGTCTTCAAGTTTTCCAGAATCCCGAGAGTCCATTTCATAAAATTAAAGCCAAATCTCCTTCACTTTATGCACCCTTTATTCGTTTTGGCTGATATTTGACTTCTTCATAAGCTTAATTTCCATTTAAATGCGAGCAAAGTATGGTAGAGCGACGGACTTATTGAAAATTTTAACAAAATAAATATGTTTCCATAAGTAGTATGCCAGTCCTTTGTCTCGTCTTAATAACTTACTTCACAGTGTTAATTTGTTGCCGTCTGCATGGCTGATTTACTTTTACTATTTTTTTATCTTTAAACAAAAAGAATTTAAATGCAACGTTGTTCAAGTATTTGCCTTATATATATGTATATATATGCACATTCGAAAACTGGAAACTTAACATATTTTGGAAAAAAATGCATATACATTAGGGTAGGCGAAAATTATGAGTTTTATGAATTTTAATTTAATTTTAAATTAATTTAAATTTTTTTCTTTTCAAAAGATTTTATTTCATTTATTTGTTTAACATTACAATTTATTTTTCAATTTAACTATAATGTTTTATAAGATATATATATGTATATATATATTCCAAATTATTATATTTTTATTTTATTTTTATTTATCTCATTATCATTATTTTTCTGTATAATTAAAAAAAAATATTTTCATTTACTTTATTGGAATAATACAAATTTTTTTACTCATATTTTTCTCTTAATTATTTATTAACTTTTTTATTATTTCATATTAATTTTTTTGTTCTTATTAATTTTTTTATTATATTGTTTTTATTTAATTTTTTTAGCTTTATTTTATTTTCCTTATTTACTTTTATTTTATATTACTTTATTCAATTTAATTTATTTAAATTTAATTTAATTTAATTTTTTTTTGATTTTATATATTTTAATTTTATTTTACTTTTTCAGTATAATTTTATTTTATTCTTCTTTATTTAATTTAATTTTTTTTAATTAACATTAGTTTTATTTAATTTAATTTAATTTTGTTTAAATAAATTGACCGTCCTTGTGTAAGTATGCGTTCAAGTAAATACGTGTTGGTGACAATACAACTTTCAGTTGAAATCCGCAGCCAGAATGCCAAGTAAAATCGTGACAGAAACAATATATATACACATATGTATACACATACACGTATATTGCACTTATATCCTCACCCTGGACCAGCGGCGCCTTCACTCTACAAACCAACATTGCTATACACACACACATCAGCACATAACAACAACTCATCTCATTAAGACGTGCTTTGTAAATTTTAATTTTAATAATAAAATGTTGTTGCGCCACCATTGCACGCCCTCAGGGGAAATATGCAAAAAATGCAACATTGAACACACACACACCACCCCAACACCACCAGACAGACTTCTCTTTCTCTTTCTCTTAAAAAATGCAACATTGAACACACACACACCACCCCAACACCACCAGACAGACTGAATGACAGACAGTCTAGGATGGCCAAGCAGGCGGGCAAAGCGCATGGTGAGCTGTGTGCAAAATATGCATGACATGCATTTCGTTGACAACAACACGTGTCATTATATAATATGTACTTATATATATATATAAATATATATACACATTTCCAATTGTATTGGTGGGTTTGTGTGAATTTGATCTTACCTGATTCCACCGCGCGTCACATCATAGTTGAGTGTGTCATCACCATGTTTCCAGTACACGACCGATGTGGCCATGGCGACATTCCGGACCACACATGACAGCTGCAATGTTGAATCGATTTCGTAATATTTTTCCTGTAGTGGATCACCGAACTCATCAACAATCATCACTTTGGGTGCTAAGGGATTTTGCGGATGCGGAAAAGAAATGGAAAAAATGGTGAGAGTGTAAAAAATTGTAGGTACGTAATAGTAGAGACAATAATAATATAAATACACACAAACAAAAATGTACTATACATTTATTTGGCACATGCTCACTCTTTTTTTATATCCCACACGATAAGCGCAAATTTTTCCTTCATAATTTTTTTATGCCCAAAAGTAAATTTATCTTATGTGGAGGGTATATGAAATTAAAAATTAATATGCTTTTATGCAAATGTGCACACATAAGGCGGAAGTGCATTTCAGTGACGACAGGCTTGTGTGTGTGTGCGTGCGTGTACATTTTTAATATAACTGTATTATAAAGCTCAAAAGTGTCTTATGTCATTAAATCGTATATTTCATCAGCGTATTTGCATTACTGTGTATATATGTTTATATCGTTCGCTGCTATAATAACAACACTAACAACTACCCGAATGAACTAACACCAACTGATTTAATGGCATGGTCGTTGATGTAATGACATGCGTTGCTCAACACTTCAAGCTGATTACATTCGCATGTTGCAACTATACAATGGTGGGTACAAAAATATTTTTCAAATGAAAATGTAAATATTTTGAATTAAAAAGTATAGGGGACATATATTAATAAGTTGAAATATTATTTTAACGTAAATTTTTAATTTTTACTTCGTTTTTTCATTTTATTTTACTTTATTTTATTTTATATTTTTTCTTTTGCATTTTTAAATTTAAATCACTTTATTTTATTTTATATTGATATTGATTTTATTTTATTTTTTAATTTGGTTGTTATTGATTTTATATTACTTTACTTTATTTTTTTTCGTTTTATCTTATTTTATTACAATAATATTAATTTTTTTATTTTATAAAAAATGAAATAAATATTTTGTCAAGTTCTTCTACTTTATATTTCCATAATTTTCTTTTATGTTATTTAATTGATTTTTTTATATGTTATCTTATTTTATTTACTTAATTTTTTTATTTCATTTTGTTTAAAAATATTTCATTTTATTTTATTTAATATATTATATTTTGAATTTTACTTTTTACTATTAATGTATCTTATTATAATTTAATTCTCTTTTTTTTACTTTATTTTATTTAATTATATTTTATTTTTCTTTTTTTATTTCATAATGTTCTAATTCATTTTATTGTTTATTGATTTTATTTTTTTAATTTGGTTACATTTGATTTTATATTATTAAATTTAATTTTACTTTACTCATTTCAATTTATTTTGGTTTCTTTTATTTTGCTATTTTTTATTTTGTTTTATTTTAATCTATTACAATAATACTTATTTTTTTCTTTTATAAGGAAAATGAAGTAAATTTTATATTAAGTTCTTTTATTTTATTTAAATATAATTTTTTTTGATTCCTTTTTTTGTACAAATTTTTTAATTAGATTTTCTCTTATTTTATTGATTTTATTATACTTTATCTTGTTTTATTTTACTTTTAATTTTTTTTTCTAATTTTGAATAAGTTTATTTAGTTTTCTATATTTAATTTTATTTTATTTTGTTTTGTTTAAAAATATTTTATTTTATTTTATTTAATATATTACATTTTTTGAATTTTATTCTTTTATCTTTCAATGTATATTATTTTAATTTAATTCATTTAATTTTATTTTCCTCAATTTTTTAATTTTATTTTATCTTATTTTTTCATTTTATTTTATATTGTTTTAATTCATTTTTTTAATTATTGATTTTATTTTTTAAATTTGGCTTTATTTGATTTTATATTATTAGATTTAATTTTACTTTAAATTATTTTATTTCAATTTATTTTGGTTTCTTTTACTTTGCTTAAGTTTATTTTAATTTATTTTGTTTTATTTTATTCTATTACAATAATACTTATTTCTCTCTTTTATAAGGAAAATGAAGTACATTTTATATTAAGTTCTTTTATTTTATTTAAATATAATTTTCTTTTGATTCATTTTTTGCACAAATTTTTTAATTATATTTTCTCTTATTTTATTTATTTTATTATATTTTATCTTGTTTTATTTTACTTATTAATTTTTATCTCATTTTGAATAAGTTTATTTAGTTTTCTTTATTTAATTTAATTTAGTTTTATTTTATTTTGTTTTATTTTATTTTATCTTTTTTTTATTTTATTTTATTTTATTTTATTTTATTTTATTTTATTTTATTTTATTTTATTTTATTTTATTT